GTCTAATGAGATGGGTTTTATTTATTATTTTGAGGGCGTTACACTTTGGGTGTCAATTAGTTTTGTCAACACATGCATGCTCTCACTTTTGGGCATTTTTCAGCTGTTAAAAGATTATTGGGGTATGTTCAAGGCACCATTGTTCATGGTTTGACATATCAACCTAGTAATTTTGATCTTCATGCTTTTTTCCGACTCCAATTAGGTAGAGGATGTGATTGATAGGAAGTCCACCTCTGGATATTGAATATTTTTGGGTTCCAATCTTATCTCTTGGTTTGCTAAAAAGCAGGCCACTGTGTCTAGCTCCTCTACCGAAGCAGAGTGTCGAGCACTGGCTTATGTTGTTGCCGAATTGACTTGGGTTCAAATGCTTTTTCAGGATTTGGCTATATCATCCCCTACTTTACCCATTTTGTGGTGTGACAATGTCTTCTCCATTGCCCTTGCTTCCAATCCAATGTTTCATTCTCGTTCCAAGCATATAGAGGTGGACTGTCACTTCGTCAGGGATAAAGTGTTTGCTAAACAACTAATTTTGCAATATATTCCTACTCCAGATCAGTTAGCCGATATATTTACAAAACCTTTATTTGTGGCTCATTTTTTGTATCTCAAGTCCAAGGTAATGGAGTTCACGCACCCCATCTGCTTGCAGGGGCATGTTGAGAATACTACAGCTTTCAAACTCAGCTCAGAAGCTCAGTCAATGGCTAAGCCAGTCCCAGCAGCAGACATTGTAGTTGCAGCCACATCAGCTTAGTTGGTCACAAAGTCAGTTAGCTTAGGAGTTGGTTAGTGTGTATGTATCTAACTAGCGTATCAGTAGTCTGTTATAACAAACTCCCAACTAATATATATATATATATATATATATATGTGATTGTAATCTATAAAAGCATTTAAATTGAAGAAGAATTCTTTCTTGAAATCTCAGTTTCTTCATAACGCTTTGCAAAATTAAATTCTAGTGTCTCATTCAAACGCATGGAGTTCATTGGAACGAGAACGTATTTTTAGACTTGTAATTTTGCATTACTTTCTAAATAGTGTATTCACCATTTGAATGCAACAAAATACTGTTCAAACATATTAGCACATTCTATCTCAGTTTGTGTATGGAACAAAATTTTCTTATATTTTTATTTTCTTGTTCAATTAGGTTTGTCTTTTAGTAAATTGAGACCCAAACTTTATTATTAAAGGAGAGCAACCATTACCATTGAGATTTAGTCATTTTAAGAGAGCTACTCAAATCCTTTATTCTTATATTCTTGATATTGCAAAGGTTAGAATATGATTTTTGTGGGTTTTGAAATCTATTGAGTAATGGTTACAAAGGTGGCATACTTAATCACGGAGATTGTGTTTGTAGGACGTGGTTTGATGAAAGGACGATGGGGTTGCTCGTGTGACTTGAGTGAAATAGGATTATTGAGATTCTTTGAATTCATTATTTTCATTATCTTTCAGATCTGGAACTTACATTGATTTATATACTGTAAGCATAAACTGTCTAACTAACTCATAACAGATTATATACTGGAAACCTAAACTGTCTAACTAACTCATAACAGATTATATACTGGAAACCTAAACTGTCTAACTAACTCATAACAGATTATATACTGGAAACCTAAACTGGGTTTTTCTCTCGTTTGGAAAGGATCGGTGGTAGTGGTGCTTCAGCCGTGGTGTTTCAGCTTCAGCAGTGGGTCTTGGTTTAGGTTGGAAGCGTTGAACAGAGGTGGGTTGGTTCAGGAACTTCATTCGGGCACTTCTTTGCGAGCAGGAGTTTGAGGGGTGGAGGATTTAGAGCTGTTTAGGATCTCCATTCGGGCGCTCCTGTGCGAATGGGAGTTTGAGGGATGATTTCCGTTCTTTTCTATGGTGGTCGGTGTCCGTGTTGGGTTTTGAGGAGATTGGCGCTGGGTAACAAAGAGGGGACTGCCCAGCGTTGTTTGGTGAGGTTTCAATCGAAAGAGTTTGTTTGGGTCACGGAGGAGATCCAAAGGAGGAGGCTGCAGCAACTGAAGTAGAGGAGAGTGAAGCAAGTAGAGGCTGTCGTTGTTCAGCGGTGAAGCAGAGTAGTTTCGGTCTCGGGTGGTTCTCGATGGTGAAGCAAGAGTAGTTTCGGTCACGGGTGGTGCAGGGTGCTCGGCGGCATTGGAGCCTGAGGGTCCGGCAGTTTGGAGGTTGAGTGTCTGTCATTGGTGCAGGGTGGGTGGGTCAGGCGTGGGGCTCAAGTGTGTAACAGTGCTTGAGTCAGAGTGTGGTTTGGGGTGTGTAGCTGTGTTTTAGGTGGGGGCTCATGAGTGTGGTTTTTTAATTTATTTTGTTTGTTGTTTTTTCAAATTTAAAATCGTGAGGTTAAGGGGTTGGTTGTAAGAACGCGAGTAGCAGTAGTAGGAGAGTGAATTTTTACTCGTCGAATCTCTCTCAGTGCGTATTATTTCCTTGAACCTGTAAATTTCATGTTTTTAATAAAATTTTTCTTTGCCGATCAAAAAAAAAAAAAAATGGTTACAAAGGTGGCATACTTAATCGCGTAGATTGTGTTTGTAGGACGTGGTTTGATGAAAGGACGATGGGGTTGCTCGTGTGACTTGAGTGAAATAGGATATTTGTGTCTTGATCTTGTAAATGGCTATCTTTATTAATGGTTGGTTTGTTGTTTTTTCAGTATGGGGTTGTTTGGGGTATTCTAAATAAATGTATTTTTTGACTTTTTAGACTAAAAAGTTGAGGGAAGAAAAATAGTCGTTTAGAATGACTTTTTGACTTTTTACAAAAAAAATGTGTATTAAAAAATTATATAAATTAGTGTATAAGAGAAGCTTGGGCAGAGTAGTCAGTACAGTAGGCAGAGTAGTGTATAGAAGAAGCTTGCCTCCTTTTCGGGCATTGAATTGAACGATATTGTTCGACCCGTGGGGCCCGTTTTGCTAATCAGAACCGTAATGTGTAGAACTCGTTGAGTACTATAAGTTTGAAAAAAATCACGTTAATCGGGTATCGATAGCTATCTGATCGGATTAGTTTTTTTGTCAATCGTTGACTATAACACCATCCTTTTTTTTTTATATACAAAATTGATTTGATCATGCAGTTAGCGATATCCGATTAACATGATTTTTTATAGGCATATATTACTTAATAAGCTCTACATATTGAACGGTTCAGATTATCAAAACAGGATCCGAGATGGGCCCCCACGGGCCAAACAGTACCATTTTGCGCAAAAAATAATTTCCATCCGCGTGACCATCACTTACCTGGCCTGTGTACAGTGGCTTGTACTTGGCCTGTGTAAAGGAGATTTTTTTATATATATTTTTTGGGTGAATAGTGATAACTTTTTTATTTTTTTAGTAACTTTTTGACTTTCTGTATTTTTTAGTGTATGCCAAACTAGGCCTAAATTTGGTCCCTCTTATGGTTGTATATATGCTTCGAGGAAGTACGGATACGGATACAGAATATGGGTACGATACGATATGGATACGGTAATACGAAAAAATTTGAAAAATTAGGATACGGGTACAGCGGGGATAGGTTCGTAAAAAATATTATTTTTATAATTTTTAGTAATGTAGTATGTATAAAAATAAAATCTAAAGCAAAATATTATACTTTTTTCCATGATTTTATTACCAATTCATTAAATATCTTCCTCCATTCAAGTTACACTTTTTTCCTCCCTGTTATATTCATCCAATCTGCCAATAAATAAATAAATAAAATTCATATTCACAAATATGTTTTCTGTAGCAATTTTTTACTTTTAACTTGGAGCATAAAACATGCTGTGAAAAGCACATCCAAACAACTGCTCAGTTGAATTTCCAGTTTTCCCCTTTCTACTGATAATGGGAGACACAGATAACATATATTAAAATTTAAAATTTCCTTTCCATTTCATATTTTTCTGACTAACCAACCAGAGATGGCTAATTTTAAACTTTTAAAGAAAATGGAAATTATAATTTTATAATAATATATAGCAGATTAAGCTAAAAATACTTGCCATCAAATGGACAAAACCCTATGTCCTAATTGCATGCCACGATCTGAGAAAGAAAAAAGTGGTTAGTAGAGTAAGAGAGAGAGAGAGTGAGATTGAGCGAGAGCGCGAGACAGAGAAAGTGAGTGAGATTGAGTGAAAAGGATAGAGAGATCGAGCGAGAGGGAGAGGTAGAAAGAGAGAGGGGAGAGAGAGAGAGAGAGAGAGAGAAACTGAGTGAGTGAGTGAGATCGAGCGAGAGGGATAGAGAGATCGAGTGAGAGAGAGAGAGGGAGAGAAAGAGAGATAGAGAGAGTGAGATCGAGTGAGAGGGAGAGAGAGAGAGGGAGAGGGAGAGGGAACGAGAAGGAGAGGGAGATGACAAACTTTGATCGACTCCTCTTTATCCTCCTTGTTGCTGTTCGTGAACCTTGCGATAAAGACAATAGAGAAGACGACGACGACTCCTTCTTGCTGCTGTTCATGAGCCATGAGCTAGGGCTTGCTTGATTTTTTTTTGTTTTATTTTAGATTACTTTTGTTATTTTACACTTCGACCCCATTATAAGTTTTTAAAATTATTTTTTCGCCCCGTCGTATCTCGAAAGTATTCAAAGCGTATCCCTGAAGTATCCTCGCATATCCCAAACGTATCCAAAATTCAAAAGATTTTGAAAAAAAAATTTGGGGTACTCCTTTGCCATATCTGATACGTATTCCGTCGTATCGGACGTGTATCTGTATCCGAAACGTATCGGACACGCGTACGGGTGCCATTTCGGAGTATTTGTGCTTCATAGATATGCTCTTTATATCCAACCTTCTCAAATAATTTATAGAATCCTATCAGTTGATTTTGAACTGAAAAATAAAATACACTATATGTGGTAGACTATGAATTTGAAATTTATTTTCCAAACCGTCACCTCGATTAAATTCATAAAATAAATTTCATATATTGTGTTTATGGGGATGTTTAAGGATTGGATACTCAAAATGACAATTGGAACCGTAAACTTCCGGATTAAAAATACAGCAACCTCCATCAATAGTATTGTCGAGTACATATTAGCTAAAGACACAACATTATTATTCACACAATTTACAACAGAAGTGATCATCTTCTGCTTATCCTCCCCTTCTTATGAACTTGAAATAATCCTACACCCAACCCCTTATGTCATCTGTCACTGTAGATTGTAACTTGATACATAATTCTGATACTGAAGGACAGAAGTCGCATCCCAAGTGTTTGAGGAGGCTGATTTTGAGTTGAAGTCATTGGACCACCAAATCACGCTTTCCTTCAAACCATCCATTTCTTTAAAACAATCAAATTCAGATATTGGATCCTCTTGTGGTGGAAAACCAGTTGTTTCATTGTTGAGTAGATGTAGAGCATCAAGTTCAGCTTGGAAAGTCGAAATTGGCTGAATTTTTGCATTGAATTGTTCCATGCCATCTAATCTTGACTCGAGTACATTGCTTCCATTTAAAGCAACAGTGGGTGGTTCATAGAAATCAACCTTTTGTCCTTGTCCTGGTTGAGAACTAGGAGGAGGGACATCAATATGTTGCATCAAAGGGTTGGTAGTATTTTCATTCAAGAATTGGAGGCTTTGAATAATCTTTTCTTGTAGGGTATGCAACTTGGGCCATAGTGCAGGGTTGTTGTAGAAAGACAGAGGGTTTTGCAAGCTCTGAAGCTGCATGTAGAGATGAATTCTTTCGAGGGCTGAGTTGCTTAAGACCGACTTATCTTCTTGACCATTTGTGTCTTTTGGATCCTGACTACTTGTTGATAGCCGGTTGATGTTAGATTGTTTGCGTCTTCCTAGCAATTTCTTCTTCAGCCTTGTGTTCCAGTAGTTCTTGATGTCATTATCTGTTCTTCCAGGCAATTGAGCAGCAATTATGGACCACCTAACATTAGATGAAATTTGATTAAAAATCACCTTTACCAAGAATTAAGAAGAAGCAAGGCCATGAAGAGAAAAAGTAATGAAACCCATACAATTTGTTTTGAATCTGGATCTGAATGAATGATTCTTTCAAACAAAAGCATGATGGACAAAGACAAAGGATAAGCTGCTTAGATTGAAATATAGCTAACTGTTATCCTGTTGGCTTGACATGCACTTGGGATCAATTAAAAGTTAAATATATATATATATATATATATTCAATTTTATTCAATTTTGACTTTTCCTTGAGGCCATTCGAGAACTTAGGTCAGATGATTATGTGATATGTCATAGGAAATATTGAAATAGATAGTATTTCTACAAAATATTTATAAATTCATCAAAAAATTTTAATTATTAAAATTGGTAAACTTTTCCAACTTTTTATAAACTGTTTTTAGAAACTTGCACTAAAACGTTATTTTCCCTATATCATATACAATAATGATTCATACCACTAAAAAAAGATCACTAATAGTACTAATGTATTGGAAAATGTCAAAAAAAAAACAAGGCATTAGAGCATCATTTTTAGTGCTCTCAACCATTTTTCTATCATATATGTGGTGTGGGACGAGAGATTTACATGTATTTGGGATTAATTGGGGTGAAACTTTTGAACACTCTTGTGAGCAAAATAAAAAATAAAAAATATGCACTATAATATGTAAGAGTTTTAGAGATTAAATCTTTTGATATCTAAAATTGAAAATTTCGTTGTAAAAGATATTTAGGAACCAATTTTTATCGCTATGAGAATAGTCTCTAAAATATCATCCCAAAAAGTAAAAAATAAGGCTTTTAGTGACAAAATTTTAAAATTGTCACTAATAAATACACTTTTAGTGACAAAATAATTTGGTCCTAAAATAGTTTATTTTTTGAGACAAAAAATTTCATTCCAAAAAGATAATAATTCATCACTAATGTCAAATTTTCATTACTAAAAATATAATGATGACATTTTTCGTAACAAAAATATTTGATTCCTAAAAAATAATTTTGTTTCTAAATTTTGACTTTGAAAACATTAATTTTTATTTTTATTTATTTTTTTATTTTTTTAGTGATGGGTAGAAATAAATGGCCGGAAGTGGCACTGAAGTTTGGCAGAGCCGGGGGGGTGGGGTGTTACCTGCTCCCAATACTAATATAGAGGCTGCAGATGATGTTATCTTCTTCTTCAGAGAAGCCACCGTGCTTGATGTTTGGTCTCAAATAATTCAGCCATCTCAGTCTACAACTCTTTCCACATCTCTTAAGCCCTGTGTAGTGTATTATTAATTTCCGCCAACACATGTCAGTCAAATTGATTGAATCTGAGAATATATATGCATTGCATCCTAAGTTACCAAACATAAATAAATGATAGACATAATCACACAACACAACACTACACAAGGGTGCATTAGAGAGAGAGAGAGAGAGTAGTGGATGTACCAATCTTTAGAGGAAGAGCGATCCAGTTACCACCGGTGCCATGCTTGTCTATATAAGCCTTGAGCTTTGCATCTTCTTCAGGAGACCATGGACCCCTCTTCACGTTCGACTTGTCACAGCATGGAGCTCTACCCATTTGTATGTTGTTCTCTCTTTCTCTCTCTATGCTGAAGTGAAAACGAAGCTTTATAAGTAGGAACAGTGGGTGATGTGATGCTTATGAGAACCATGAAAGTCCCACACCTCAACTTCTCCTTTCATCATTCAACCTCAGTTCTTCTAGGGTCTGCTCTCTCTCTCTCTCTCTCTCTCTCTCATATTTGGATTAGTTCGCACATTCATTAACATTTTTTTTCAAAGTTTGTATACAACCTGACAAAGTACTACACAAATTTTCTTCTAATTATTAATACTAAAATCCATAGCTTTTTTTGCCTCCATTAGTTTATTATGACAAGGCAAAGCTACAGGTAAAATTAAGAGAGAAACCTCTATCCTCTTGGTTTGTCCCCAATCTACCTCGAAATTTAAGTGTTCAATTATTGAGCTAAGCTTGTTAGGCAGTAATTGTCAGAAATAAAATAAAAAAATAATAATCAATTAATATATACAAGAAAAGGTATAAACAGGGTTGTGGGTCATTTAAAAGATAACAGACCAATAGGACAGCTGAAAATAAATGTGAAATTTTATTAATTTACAGGATTCCAATGAAATTTGTATATCATTTCCAATACCTAAATAAGGTACTGTAATGTAATGCTTATTCTGATATAAAATTATGCGCAAAAAAAAAAAAAAAAATGTATAGAATGATTATTGTGATGATGACAATTTTATTAATTTGAAAATTATTTGAAGGACATTTTGTTTTAAATTGAATTGTCCAAATAACTTTTTCTTTTGCTCTTATTACACAGATCAACACTAACCAAAAAACATATAAAGCTGTTTAGTTATATTATGTCCGTTTGGTTGCAAAGAATATATAGGAGAAAATGAGAAGATAGACTTTAAACCCTATACGTTGCTATCTTATTTGTTATTGGCACGAGTGTTATTATGACCACTTTATAAATTATTTTGAATTTTTTAATTTTTAGTTATTTTTTATTATAATAATAATTTCAAATAAAATTATTAAAACTGACATTATTAATTTTGGAATATCTCATTTCACAATTAAACTCACACACCACTACATCATGAATTAAGCTTTATGAGAGCACTCACCTCCATCACTATATATCCATTTTCCCCAAATCTTATATTCAAAACTTACTCTCCCTCAAAACCTTCAAAACTTTTCGGTGACAATAATCCGACGATAACGATAGCAACCATTTGATTACCCACACTTCTCTGGCAATGATAATGAGTGGAAGTTTTTTCAGTAACCATAACTCCATGAGATGAGAGAATTACAACAATAAAAGTTCAGAGAAAGTTCATACCTTTGATGGTGCTCTTAGCTCAGAGAAGATTGGCCTTAAAAAGGTAAGTTTCTTAAAATAAAATAAAAAAATGACAAAAATAATAAAATATGTTCGTCATTTTTTTGGGATTGAACTCCCTAACATATGATCGAAATTCAAGAACATATGCCCGAACATTGTTTATTTGCTTGAGAACTGGTAACCGAACATTAATTACCAAAGAAAATGATGAGACGAGAAAGCGAGAGAGAGAGAGAGAGAGAGTAATCACACTTGGCTCTTCTTCTTTTTCGTGAGTTTTGTTAGGATTTTTAGAAGAGATGTTTTTTGGGGTGTGGGGGGTGTGGATTCAATTGAGTGGGTGAAATGTTTTCACAATAATAATTTTGGTATTATTTGAAGGGAGAAAAGAAATTTTAAAGGTTTTAAAATTTAAAAGTGGGGGTCCAAACAAATGAGAGGTCCAAAATAATAGATGAAAATAATAAAAATAATAATAATAAGGGTAAATTACACTTTGCTCCTTTATGTTTTTTCATTTTTCCACTTTAACCCTTAAAGTTTGTTTGTATGTTTTTTTTTTTTTTTTTTCATTTTGACTTTTCATGCTTCAAGTTTTTCCTAATTTACTTGTAAAAAAAATACCACAATGACTCTCATATAACATCTAAAATATATTATTATATTAAAGTTAAAATTTTTGTTAGAAGTGTGAATTATATATAATAAAATATAAAATATTTCTATGTGACGTGTTTGTCAATGTGTCATTTTCTGTTTAATTTTGAATAGAATTAGCTTCAAGAAAAATTAAAATACAAAGGGTTGGAGTGAGGAAAAGTAGCCAAACATAAATAGGACAAAAGTGTAATTTACCCTAATAATAAATAATAAAGAAATCAAACCCAGCGTACACGGAACGATCCCAGTTGTTGAAGCAAATTTCTTTGAACTCATCTCGTCGTTGATCACGGTGTCGTAAGTTACATTCTAACCATAGTGTACTCTAATATTTATTATTCACGACAATTACTCACTAGAATTTGAAATGTGTAGCTCCTTTTCATTTTACTCATACCATTTTCCTTTCAAATTTATACCATAATAATGTGCACTGGTTTGAGAATTTTGCTATTTTAGTAATTTTTTAATTTTTTATTATTTTATGAGATGAAAAAAGTTATGTGTTTGGGACGATTTGTAATTTTTTTGTAGTTAAATAGATGGTTATGGGAGAAAAAGTAATTGATTGATGTGTAGAATGTGACATTTTATTTATAAAAAAATTTATTTTTATTGACTATTTTAACCAAAATTAAACATCCCAAACAAAGCCTGAATTGTTAATTATCACTTTTTTTAGTTACTAGAGAAATAATTTTATTATTTATATTATCAACACCTTTTGTATTTTTTGTATTTTTTATAATTGAATGTCCGGACCAACTTACACGCACCTCGATTAATTTCATGACTCCGAAATTTATTTTGATCGGCAAAGAAAGAGATTATAGTAGAACCAAACAAAAGAAAGAAATACAAAAGAACTGTTAGCAGATGGAATGACATCCAATCCTCTAGTGACCTAAAGTTAATGATTCGATAAATTTCAATGACTTTGAGGTTTGAGATATTTGACTTTGTATGATTCAACTCTATCCTTTGGTTACCTCTCCTCCCACGAAGCCAAACATGTTGGGGTTAACACATTCTTTTATATGTACAAACTTTTCTCTATAAAGTCGGTCAAACGCGTGTAATTATTTTGAATAAAGTAATAATGTACAATAAAAAAGTATATACAAAAAATTTAAGATAAACTACAAATAGACCTCTTAAAATTTGTTTAAAATACAGATTATCTCTTATGCTTTGAAAAATTACAAATACTCTATTGTTAAAATTTTTTATTTGACAGAATTAATTGAAAATTCCTAACTACTTTTCTATAATAATGATAAAATTACTTAAATTATTAACTGAAATAAATTTCTAACATCATTAAAAAAAATACTAATTACTTGATTATTTATTAATAAAAGAGACCATTTGTTATAAAATTGAAAACTTGAAGGGGCGAGATATAATTTCCAAAACCACATAAAACAAATCATATTCTAAGCAAACTTCAAGAATATATTTGTAAATAAATATATATATATATATATATAAAACGATGTTTTGAGTTGTGAGTCTATCACTTTAAAACTAAAAAATTCATTAAAATGTCTTTTAAAAACAAACTATTGTCTCATGTCATTATGAGATTGATGTTTAAAAATTATTGCAGAAAATGTTTTCTTGATTTTATAATATGCAAGGTTTGAATACAAGACTAGTTATTATATCATCTTGAATTGTTAACCACAAAATAATCTAAACTTAAATTATTCAAAAATGATAATTTTATTATTTTTAATATACCATATATTAAAATTGTAGATTAATTAGTTTCAAATGATTATACATTTTTTAAAAAGTCGGACTTTTATCAAGTTTAAATTTAATGGGCACGTGAGGGGTCTATCTGAGAGAGAGAGAGAGAAAAAAAAAAACTTCAAATGATATTTTTCATTTTAGTTACACACTTACAACACTTGACTAGTTCACTTATATACACAGATGCATTGTTCACTCTAACTAATTTTGTTACAAAATTTGTTGTGAATTTGTTACAAGCAAATGATCTCATATAATCAAACTATAGGCTTGTACTGTTCCCTTAACATTCATACCAATAGCTGACCTACAACTACCATACAAAGCAGTCTTAGTAGGTCTCCTATGTGCACCTGAAGAGAACCTCAAGATCTCAGATTTACTGACAACTATTGGACCATGACTTATACCAACTACTGTAGCTGAAGGTGTAGCAGATGTAGCTGGAGCTAGAGATGTAGCAGGTGTAGTTAGAGTAGCTAGAGTAGCTGGAGCTGCTGGAGCTAAACACTTATCAGTCTCCCTCAAGCTAAAAGGTAGGAGACCAACTAAAAGCTTGGACTGGAAAAAAAGAAAACAAGAAGCAGGAAGAGATTTTGTAAAAATGTCAGCCACTTGATCAGAAGAAGCCACACGACGAATAAGAAGTTTCTTCGCCAAGACTTTTTCACGCACAAAGTTGTAATCAATTTCAATGTGCTTGGTCCGAGCATAAAACACCGGGTTGACAGCAAGAGAAAGAGCAGACAAGTTATCACACTAGAGAACAGGAACTGAAGAAGGACTAATATGCAGATCTTTAAGAAGCATTTGAAGCCAAGCAACTTCAGCACTAGCAAGGGCCATAGCCTTATATTCGGCTTCAGTAGAAGATCGAGCAACAGTTGGTTGTTTCTTAGCAGCCCAAGACACCGAGTTAGGTCCAAGAAAGATGCAAAAACCTAAGGTAGAACGTTTATCACATGGACTACCAGCCTAGTCAGCATCAGAGAAAACATGTAGATCAAATGCACCAAAGGAAAAGGTCAAACCAGACTGTAAAGAACCTTTAACAAACCGTAAAATCCGCTTAACCATAGCAAAGTGAGCTTGAGTAGGACTGTGCATATACTGACAGGCTTGGTTGACAGCAGATACCAAATCAAGACGAGTAATAGTCAAGTATTGAAGACCACCAACAAGACTGCAATAAAGAGCAGGATTACAGAAGAGAACATCAGAAGAAGAGACAGCAGGTTTAGCAGAAAGAGGAGAAGAAGCTGGCTTGCAATCAGTCATGCCAGCACACTTGAGAAGAGTAGAGGTATACTGAGTGTAACAACCCTCGTCATTGTTTACCGATTAACCACTAATTACTGCTAAACTGAGACTGATTATGATTGGTAACCGAATTGATTGAAGTACTGAACTGACTGACTGAAATCTGGAACTAAATTGATTAAGTATATCTGTTTAATTGTATGTCTATCTGTTGACTGTTTGATTGTCTGTTCA